CTTTGGCAGTTGCTCCAACTCATAGGCTACATTGAAAATCCTCTTGGATATCCTGTAAGATACAATATATCGGGGATTGACCTTCCCCCTCTTACCAAATCTCATAACACCATTCATGGGTGAAACCTTTAAGTAAACCCAATCATCCACCTCAAAGTCCAAATTTCTTCTCCTAAAATAAGTATAGGATTTGTGACGACTTTGTGTTGTTTTCCGACTTTCTAGAATGATCTTCACTTTCTCCATAGCTTAATGAACCAAGTATTGTCCTATCAAACCATTTTCACAAACCTTAAATAATCCAATAGGATATCTACATCTTCTTCCATACAAAGCCTCATAAGGATCCACTTGGATACTCACATAGCTTTGTTGTAGGCAAATTCTATGAATTGTCCGTTCTGCTTGACCATCAGTCTAAGGGTGGAAATTACTCAAATTTATGTTTAAACCCAAATTTCCATCTTAAATTATGCATACTGAAACTCCATGAAGTTTGATTACCACTTAGAAATGGACAGATTTAGTCATCCAATCAACAATCACCCAAATCGAATCATGCAAAACAATGAAACATAAGTAATGAAACCCATATTGATCATCTACCACTTCCATTCTAAAAGATCGTTGCAATACACATCTTCACACTACTCTGCCGGTAGACTTTTCTCAAGTCACGATACATCATTGTGGAACCCGCATGGATAGAGTATCTTGAGCTATGAGATTCTTTTATGAACCTCTCTTGGATCTCATAGACCTTTTTTAGACACAATCTACCTTGATACCTCAATATATCGTATCCCCCTTGTTCAAAAGTCAACACTTTTTGTTTATGACCTGTGCTTTCAATTCAAGCAAAATAAGGTCTTGGTCTTATTTCTCTTTCACTTCAGACACTAGTGATGATTCATCCACATTCATCACCACTACTCCTCCTTCATTGGAATTCATTAACTAGCCTCAATCTTGCAAGTTTGCTCTTATCCTTAGCTAATAATTTCTTGTTTTCCTCAGCATGGAAAGTATTTCCCATAAACAACATCTCAAAGGCGTCAGCAACAACGTTAGCCATATCGAGGTGATAGAGAATACTCATGTCATAATCATGAGACTAAGCTTTTTTGGACTAAAACATACTAAAGACTCTTGTGATCGAGGAACACATCAACATGAACACCATAGAGATAGTGACGTCATATTTTCAAAGCAAATACTACAGTAGCCAACTCTAGATCATGTGTTGGGTAATTCTTCTCATGAATCTTAAGTTGTCTAGAGGCATAAGTTATAATTTTGTCATTCTGCATCGATACGCAACCAAGTCCAACTTTTGACGAATCACAATACACCACTTAACCTTGTGTAACCTCTAGTACGGTCAATATTGGGGCAATAGTCAACCGCGTTTTCAGTTCCTAAAAGTTTTTCTCACAAGCTTCATACTTGAAACTTTGTTGTCTTTTGAATCAAATATGTCAAATAGTATGAAATATACGAAACCTCCTGTAAACCACCTATAATAACTAGTCCATCCCACGAAACTCCTATTATCAATTAGGGATTTGGGTCTAGGACAGTTCTGCACTGCCTCAATCTTTTGAGTGTCAACTAGAATTTCTTCACCGGAAATAATATGTTCTGATAAAGCCATTGACTCGAGCAAAAACTCACATTTGGAAAAGTTGGCATTCAACTCATTATCTCTGGGAGTTTGAAGAACTACTCTGAGATGACTAACATGATCCTCCTCATGAGATCATAATGTCATCAATGAATACGATAACAAATATATCAAGATAAGTCTTAAACACTCTGTTAATAAGGTCAATTAAAGCTGCAAGCGCATTAGTTAAGCCAAAAGACATAACCTGAAACTTATAATGACCATAAAAAGTCTTGAATGTTGATTTGAAATATAACTCTGCCTTACTCTGAACAAATGATAGACATATCTGCAGTCTATCATAGAAAAACAAGTGGCACCCTGAAGTTGATAAAGAAGATCATCATTTCTCGAAAGAGGATACTTATTTTTTATGGTAACCATGCTCAATTGACAGTAATCAATACACATTCGATGAGAACAATCTTTCTTCCTCCCAAATAAAACCAGAGTGCCCCAAGGTGAGACACTTTGCCGAATGAAACCTTTATCGAGAAGATACTTTTAACTACTTTTTTAACTCTTTTAACTCAGATGGAGTCATTCTATGTGGCGAAATAGTAACAAGTCGAGTATCGGGAAGTATATCTATACGGAAGTCTATTTATCTCTCAAGAGATCATCTAGAAATACCTATGGAAACTCACTCACAACTTGAATTGAATGAATAGATTGTGCATCAACACTAAAGTCATTAACTCGGGCTAAGTGATAGATACATCCCTTGGCAACTAACTTTTTGTCATGAAGGTATGAAATAAAAATGACCCTTAGGCTCTACTAAATTACTCATGCACTCTATAAATGACTCATTAGGAAACTCCAACTTAAGTACTCGAGGTCTACAATCAATTGAGGCATAAAAATCATGAAGCCAGTCCATACCTAGAATTACATCAAAGTCCACCATATCTAACTCAACTAAGTCAGTCATGGTGTCCTTGTGATTGACCGAAATGGTACAATCACGATAAACTCTCTCAGCTAGAATACACTCATCAAGAAGTGGAATAACTTAAGGGCACAAGAAGTTTCTCGGGAAAATTACAAAATTCATAGCAATGTATGGAGTCATAAAAGATAGACTTGTACTTGGATCAACCAATGCATATACAATCAAAATAAAGACTTTGATCATACCAGTGATAACATAGGGTGAATTCTCTTTCTGTTGGCGACTGGTGATAGCAAACAGACATTTTTCTCCTTTGCATGTCCCTGAAGTAGCTCCTCTAAGTGTTGCTCTGTCCGGTGGAGCCGTTATAGAAGATTCGGATCTATTGCCCCCACTACCACTACCCTTCCTGTTTTTAGGGCACTCTCTCATGAAATAACCATTCTAGCCACACTTGAAGCAACCAGTGGAGACATCACGACACGCTCCTGGTGGTTTTTACCACACTTAGCACATGCAGGAGTTTGATTACTTATTTGTGTCACACTACCTTGAGATTGTGCAGTTCTAGCTATGAAATCCGAGAATTCTAATATGTGAACTCACATAGGTTCTTTGGTCTCAGGTGCACTAGCACATGATAGAGAAGGTCCATTTGTCTCTTTTTTTAATGGATGACTGGTTCACATTAATCTTCTGCTGCCCTGTCTTATTACCTGTAGTTTTGGCCTTCTATTTGGAACTCTTCTCTATCTCTCAATTCATCCTCCTCAACCTTTTGCACATGGATCATAAGCCTTACTATGTCTATGTCTCATATCAGTGTAGTTGAATTGCGCTATTACTTGACAAGTGAGACAAAGTAGATACAAATAGACTCATCGTGCTCCTCATGTATGCAACCATCTCCGGAGCATAACGGGAAAGTTAATTGAACTTGAAGTTGTACTCATGCACACTCATGTATTTGTGCTTAAGAATAAGGAATTTTCTTAATTTTGCCTCTCTCATTTCACGGGGAAAGAAACGCTCCATGAAGGTATCTTCAAACACAACCCAACTCACAATTTGTAGCTCTACTCTTTTTACATTGATCGTACCAGACTCTAGCAACACCCTTTAGTTAGTATGCGGCTAGTTCCATACGCTAAACATCTGCAATATTCATCACCTCAAACATTTTCTACAACTCTTCCACAAATTTTTCCAATCATCAGTGACACTTGAACTAATAAAGTTCAAAGGATTCATCCTCAAGAACTCACGAACCCTGGATGTATAAGGCACATCCTATCGATTCTTTCTTTATTACCCAACTTGGTTGGTCACAACTTAACTCAACATCAAGATAGCTTCGAGGTACTCAATATTAGTGACCTCTCCTTGGGCTTGCACTTCTGGTGCATTGAGAATCCTTGATCTTATGGATCAACATTCCTCCTAGCAGGACGACCTCAGATAGCTTTTCGTGGAGGCATGATTTGAAAGATACGCGAAAGTACGAATTAGAAAGAAAATTTTATAGAGTTGAAATCTATCACATAAAAAGAGTATGAAAGAAATGAGATATTTCCTAAATGTCGTAGCCTCCTAAAAATTATAGGTGTGGCGCGCTTCAGAGTGATAACTAGGACTCTACAGACAAAACTTCATAAACACCCTAGGACTCTTGAACTGTGTACTTTGTTACCAAGTTTTTCATGCCCTGAGCCAACACCCTGAACGTAACTGCACTCGAGAACGATGTTAACTCCAATCGAACCCTTGGCCTGGCTCAATACTTAGCGGAAGACTTACTCAATAATATATGGACTCAATTGCAAAGATTTAACTCAATCTCAAATTAAATGAGTTTTTTTTAAAAAAAAAAAAGGAAACCATTTTTCTTACCCACACCACACTGCTCCCCCTCCCCCCCAAAAAAATATTATTTAAAAAATTTTTGTGTAGAAGTATTTTAAAAAAAGAACGGAGGGAGTATGAATACTTATTATTTTTAAATAAGGTAATATTTCCTTCAATCCTTTTAAGTTGTGACATTTTTGGTTTTATAGCCAAAACATATGATTATGATTAACACTTTAAGATGTATTTTGTTTTATCATATTAATAGAAAAAAACATAACTGATAATACTTATTAAAAAAATTAAATATCTAATTATATATTTTAAAATATAAAATAAATATAATTTAATTTAGATTTGAAAACTAGTCAAATTGACTTTCAAAATACCCAATAAAACAACTAAAAAGGAACGGAGGAAATTATTTAACATTTAAACTCATAGTCAAACTTATACATACACGTGTCTTATAAAGAGTAGCCTGGTCAAAATTCAAAGGTAGGTGATAGTTTTGGTACACACAAAACATTAAACCATCCGTTTATAAATTCAGTTACTAATCTTAAGGAGTTACTCAAGCAACTTCTTTCTCTCTACCATTAACAAAATCAATGGAGAAGAGATAGAGAAAGAACCACCAAAAAAAGCAAGTTATGAAATGATAACAAATGTGGTGCATGTTCAAGAGTATTGACTCTAATTAAGGGGAATAAAAAAAATACAAAAAAATAGAGGCAGAATACTAGAGGAGTTGAATTGATCATCCACCCCATTTTGTTAATTAGTTTCTATATAATAATAATAATAGCACAAATGCAACCTGAGAAAGTTGCTTCTAGTGTCCAAGAATCAACACAAGATCAATTTTTTGATCATAATGGTGTAGGTTCTTTTAAGTTTAATGTTCAAGCCCCTGCCTTTGTGCCAAGAAAATCACATGCCACCACAATACCTATTTCAGGAGGATATTTATACCCATGCAATTTTCAATATGTTAATACTAATAATAATAATCATAATAGTAAAATTTATGGGGGTGATCAAGATGTTGCCTCCTTACTTCAAGAACCAAGTTTTGTTTCATCACTATCTCAAAAGGATAAGCTTCCTGAAGACCTTAGGCTAAAAGTCATCAAACAGGTTATTCTTTTTCTCTTTTTTTTTTTGTTTATGAATATAAGTGGTGTTTGATAAGGTTTTTCGGGTATTTGCTATCTTCCACCACTAGTACAAGAATCAAATATGTAATTTTGTATACTAAAATTTAGGTAGATGGAAATGAATCTCCTCTTGAGATTTGAACATGATATCCTACGATTTTCGCCCGCTTCATTGACACGATGGTGTGTCATTGAAGGGCCTTTTCCTTTTTTGTCAGGAAAGCATTTTCTTGAAGTATGTTCTTATTTTTCCATGTTAGGTTGAATAGAATGAAAAATATTTTTTCTCTAGGAAAATAAATTCTTGAAAATAAGATCCTTGATGAAAATTTTTAAAAAAAGTTTATCAATGATATTTTTTGTATTTGCGCACCCAACTGGCCCAATTCATACACCTTGACCATTCCACCTCTGCCACCTCGAGGCACAACACCCCACCCCTATAATGTTTTGATACATCATAGGTAAATGCTTTTGAGATGATATGTTTTTACTTACCTACCAAACACTTTAAATATAAGTAAAAACGTACTTACTATTCAAGAAAATATTTTTTAGGAAAATATTCCTCGCAGGAAATATTCTCTTTCGTACTAAGCCACGTCGTTGGGTGCCCTTTTCTCTTTGCTTTTTTTTACTTTATTGACCTTGATCTTGTTTACTTTCTTTTAATAGAATTTGGATCAAAATTGGTGTAGTTTCTTAGTTTATACCCCATTTTAGATCCTAATTGAACATGCTTGATTCAAATGAACTCTTTAACAAAATAGGAAAGTAAGTTTACAGTCACAAAGATAGCACTTTTAGCTAGCTTTTTTTGTGAAGAGAAATATGTAGCTTAAAAGAAGTATGAGAACACATGTAATGCAACTGCAGACTTTGTTCTGTTACATGACCATTCTACAAACATATTGCTTCAAGAATAGTCTGATTATGCTCTTATTTTTGAGTTTTTGTATCTAAGAGTTGATAGTTTATATGTTCAATAGGTTGAATACCAACTTAGTGACATGAGCTTGCTCGCGAATGAGAGCTTGTTGAAACAAATGAACAAGGACCCTGAAGCCTTCGGTGAGTACGCTATTGATATTCGTTAAAGAAAATGTCTGCATTTTTTCTATGCATTAGTTTTCTCACGTTCTCGCAAAATGTATATTCTACTACTACTACTATTGCAGTTCCTATTTCTTCTGTTTCGGCTACAAAGAAAATCAAGTCCCTCATCACCAACAACCAATTAACACTTTCTCATGCCCTCTTGTCCTCTACAAAATTGGTAACTTTTGGATTTTTAGTTGCAGTGTTTTAACTTCTTTTATTAGATAACAACTAATATGTTCTACATTCGAAAGATTGTAAGCGATGATGGCAAGAGAGTCAAAAGAAAAATCCCATTCACTGACAAGGATAAAGAGGAATTGATGGTACACTTACATTTCTCATATATCTATTGTTTATGGTTTTGATTAAATTTCATAGTACTAATATTACACCTGTTGATTCCATTTCTTCAGTTACGCACTGTGGTAGCTGAGAATCTACCTGATGATCACTCTCATCATAACATCGAGAAAATATTTAATGTGGCTGGAAGGTGATGATTATATTCTTGTATCTCGTCCACTAATTTTATCTTTTCTATATGTATGTGTTGTCGAACTAACACATCATGGTGTTTTGTTCCCATTTTAGTGTCAAAACCATCCGAGTATGCCATCCTCAAGATCCTAACACACGAACACGAGGAGACCTGGGCATCAGCAGTAAGGTATTAGTACTAAGTAACAGAATTGTTCTGTTTCCTCAAAAAAACACTTTCCCTTTAGATAGGTATCTAATTCCTTCTGTTTCATTATCTTATCAAGCTTCACGCACTGATAGAGTTCGAGCATCCAGAAGCCGCTGAGAAAGCAGTATGCTTTTATTTTTGTGCTTCCTTTGAAGTTCTTTCTGCAGACCTGATTTTGCTACAACTTTCGATCATCTAAAACTGTTATTTGCCTTAACTTAATCAGGCGATGAAGCTAAATGATGAGAGGAACTGGAGAAAGGGCCTTCGAGTGAGGTTGTTGCTCAGACGTTCAGTAAGTTTAATCATTGCATTTTTGCTTTTGTTTTTTCATTTACAACAACTAATTTGATCTGAATACGTTTGATTCGTTCAGTATAGTCTTAAATTCAATAAAATGAACCTATGTGTTGCTATTGTTGCAGCCAAAGTCCGTTCTAAAGAGCAGAAAGACCGCATTTGAGGGCTGTTTAGATGATGAAGATTGGATGAGTTCTGGATTAGCAGAAGACTCGCATCATGTTTCTAACCAATCAGAAGTAGTGGATCATACTAATGTAAGTATATCTATATATGGTACTCATGATCACTATATCAAATATTACAATGTTATGATTCAAATTTCTCTCAATTCATCTTAGGTTGAAGAGACTTTAGCAGCTGCAACAACAAAGAAAACATGGGGTAAAGGGCGTGTTAAAAGTACACGACAAAGAAACCAAATGTACAACGGACGTGGACTGCTTTCCTCATCACCACAAAGCAGCAAGACATACGAAGCTCCGGTGAACCAAGTTACAAAAGGACCTAGAATGCCAGATGGAACCAGAGGTTTCACTATGGGAAGGGGGAAGCCCCTGAGTATTAATATTCAAACTGGAGTACATGTTGTATAAATGGAAGATGATCAATTTTGCCCCGGTTTCACTTGGTAGTCCATGAAAGCCTCAAGTCAAATTCTTTTTGTTGTTAAATATGTGTATTCATGTCAATTTTTTCTAGAACTAATTAAGATCCAAAAGTACTATATAGGTTATTAACTAAGGCTATATGCTTCCTTGAGACTACCAATTTTGTTTTGTACATTTCTCTTTTTGTGAAAATTATCATATCATGGGGAATAATATGACTGAGTTTAAGATTCTGCCTCTCATTCAGTCTTCAGTAGTGTGCAATATTAGTTTTTAATATATTACTCATGAATTCTGTTCATCAATAATGTGGAGGTTAAAAGGAAGCAATTATTTTGAACAATCTATTGTTTGAACTTTGAAACATGATGGCTTTTGTTAAATCAATATGTCCTCAAAAGTGCTCCACAGTGAACTTATGTTCTCCATGCCCATCCCCATTTATGTATTGTCATAATGATGGTTGAGTATATAGTAAGAATTAATGGGAAATGAAAGGAAAATGAAAAAAGAATTTCTAAGTTTTTCTTATGTTTTAATAAGAAAAAGTATTTTTCCCTCATCGTGGTGGAAAGAAAAGTTAAAGTGTTAAATAGAGAAATACTTCAACCAGTGGTTAAAGAGGTTGGAAAAAGGGACCCCTCGTGTTGATGTCGTCGTCGCTCGGCTCAGCGTTCGAAATAACTATTTTGAAAGGTTGTAACTTTTAGGAACAAAATACCACTGATCCTCAGACTTTTCTCTTGTGAAATTTCTGAACTTTTTCTTCTACAAAATTCAATATTTGTGTTCTATACTACCGTTGAGTGGCTCGCTCAAACCATTATTTTGGGTATCAGTACAATACTGAATAGAATTGTTCTATCATAAGATTGATTTCAATTCAAACCTCAGATACTAGAGGGAAATAATTTTCTTAAGGGGACATTGTGCATTCAATGGACTCAATTTTCTTTCCTTTCTGTTTCATGTGATTGATACAGATTTTGGTATGATAATGCTGTTAGTTTTTGTTCTTGACTACATGATTCAAACTTTGGAGTTTTACTGTCTGCAAAGTTTTGTTGTCACTAGTATATTGTCAAATACAGATTGAAAAACAATCTTAAGGAAATTACTGTTTTATTTGTTAATCTGTATTTGTGGGTGGAGAAAAAAAATCTTCGTGGTTTTCTACTCCAATTAAGTTTGCAATTCAATCTATTGCTTACAGAATCATTTATATTGATTTTTGTTTATTAGAAATGAAAATCGATAGTGCTACGACTTTTGTGGTCGTTGATGCACCAACCAGAACTATTGTGCCACGAGCAGACAAATCAAGAAAAATTTTTGTTGTGAATTTCAAAGGATGACAGCAACAAGTATTTTTCTTGCTTACTACTCTTGGTTTGCAGAAATAAACTTCAGCAGATGCTGCTGATATGTCAAATAGAGAAGAAACCCATGATTTTTGAAGTATTGAACAGAGAGACTTCCTATGTAAAGACTACATTTTAAGTGCTTTAAAGAATGACTTATATAATGTTTTCAGCGCAATGACAACTTCGCGAGAATTGTGAAATGCACTTGAGAACATGCATGTGTGCTTGAATTAAAATTCTGACATATTTCTTTCCCTCAATTTTCTGTTTCACGATTTGCGACTGCTGAGTGTGAAGCTTTCTTCCTTTTCTCTTGATTTGAAGAATGAAGATAAAAAATGTGAAGTAGGTTATCTTCCAATTAGCTTTCTTCGTTTTCTCTTTATTGATAGTAATGGAATTAGTTCAACAACTATTTCTAGGAAAATAATGAATAGTTTTAAATTTTTTCTTGATTATCTTCCATTTTTATTCTTTTTTGTTATGCATTTTTTTGTGTGTCTTCTGTAGCTGATCCTGTTTTGAGTATTTTCTGTTTTGTGTTTTTTTTGGATTATGTTTATATAATTTGATTGTGTGTAGTATATATTGTCATATATATAAGATTATGAAAGTAATTTTTTTTTTATTTTCTTATCAATTCTCATCTTCAAATCAGTTATACCACGTCGAAAACACAAACTAATGTTAAGTGGTATGATGATACTCATCTCAAATTTATAGTGTTATGTGAATTAGAGATTAGGAAAGGAAATAAATCAAACACTCATTTATCTGGAGATGGATGAAAATATGACTAAAGCCTTCAATGAAAAAGGAAAAGACGCTATAAAACAAATAAATAAAAAATCATCAGGATGACATAAAAGCCGAGTGGACTCTTTTTAAGCAATTGATGAGAGGGAATACAAGTATAGGATGGGATGCCACCAAAAATACAATTATGCCTGAAGATTGGTGGAAGCGAATAATTAACATACATTTCTCACATTGTTCTATATATCTTTTTATTTCTTTTATTTTTATATTTTTACTTACTTAAATTTGTTGTTTATCTTTTGTTACAAGAGGATATTAGATATAAAAAATTTAGGAATAAGAATTTTTCACTCATATAATTTCGCTATGATGCATTATTTTCTAATATTGTTGCTACGGGAAAAAGAGCATATGCCACATATCAACCTCAATTTTTTTGAAACTAGGGTAAATTTTAAAGAAGAAAGACCAAATGGTATTGATAATGATCGTATGAAACACTTCATAAATATTAATGATGAAGGGGTGATGAAAGTGATGATCTGCAAGATATGAATTCTACTATGTTTTTAAACCACCATTAAAAATATAAATTTCAACTGATGGTATTGAAACAAGTAATCAAGTGAAAAAAAGTAAGATAAAATCTACAGTTGCATCAATGAAAGAGGATATGCACTCTTTAGTAGAGTTAATGTCTAAGAAAAGTATTGCTACATCTCATGAGGTAGATATTCCCACCATTGATAAGTGTATGAATTTTTTGGAAAACATTCCTGGTATTTTTAAAAGGGGTGAAATGAACAACTATTTTGTGAACATGTTTCTTAAAAAAGACATTCGGCAATTATTTCTTAAGATGCCTAGGAATGAAACTCGAAAGTCTTGGATGAAGTATAACTATCAGTTATGCCTTAAGAAAGTGTAAAGAATGTGTTGCTATGGAAAAAGTGATTTTAACATTTTATGTTTGACATAATGCTTGTAAGCATGAACGTTTTTACTTTTGATTTTTTCTGTAATTAGTGATACTTTTATTTCTAGTTAAATGGAGGACTTAGACTTAACTATATCACCCCATTTAAGTGATTTGTTAGGTGAAGAACTAGAACAAAGTGAGAGAGAGTGAAAATGAGAAAGAATGGATAGCTCTATGCCGGATAGAAGGTAAATACATTTTAATGTATTATGAAAAATACTTGTTCAGAGAACCTTGTCGTACATCAAGGCATTCCGGGTATATGTTTATTCAAGAGATATTACAAGAAAATGAAACTCGTTGTTATAAAAATTTTCGATTAAAGAAGGTAGTGTTTATTGATATATCCAAAGATTTAAAAGAAAAATATGGACTTAAGCCCACACGTGAAATATTTATACATGAAATGTTAGGCATGTTCTTAATGACTTGTGCACATGGAGCGAAAGATCGAATGATACAAGATATCTTTCAACATTCGGGGGAGACGGTTCATAGATACTCTCATAGTGCTTTAAAAGTCGTTTCTAAGCTTGCAAGAGACATTATTAAACCACATTTAAATTATAATGATGGTATTGAAGCTCACAAGCCATGTAATAAACGATATTGTCTTTCTTCAAGGTAAGTAATAACTTTTAGTTTGCCATATTTTTTTAGTATTACTTATTATATTATTTTAGCTTACATGCCTATATTTTTAGGATTATATTGGAGCACTTGATGACACACATTTAAAACTAGATTACCATAAGGTCAACAAATACCTTATGTTGGACGTAAAGGTTATCTGACTCAAAATATCTTTACCGATGTGAATTTTAATGTATAACATTTGCATGGGTTGGGTGGAAACTCATGATAGTCGTATATTTGGTGAGGCACTTCATAGAAGTAACTTAATTTTTCACATCCTTTAGGAAACAAATATCATTTAGTGGATGCAGGATATACACACATGAAAGGATATATGGCTCCATAAAGGAGACAATGTGAGATATCATCTTCCTAACTTTTGTAATGGTGCAATAATACAATTGCTTTAGCCAAGAGGACTCAGTGAAAAATTTAAATCTATGCATTCTTCACGTAGAAGTACAGTAGATTACACATTTGGTGTTTAGAAAGCAAGGTGATCTATTTTGCTAAATATGCCTTAGAGCCCGTTTAGATTGGCTTAAAAAGAGTAACATCAAAAAGTAACTTTTCAAAGTGCTGAAAGTTATTTTAAAAATAAATAGTTATGTATTCAGATAAAAGTGTTACAGTTGAAGAAAAAAACTGTTGATGATGTGTTTGACAAATAAGTATTGCTAAACACTGTTTTTATCAAAATATCTGAAATATCCTTAAAGTTGTTAACATAATAAGAAGTCGGTTAATTTCTGTCACGACCGGAATCTAGACCCCAGACGAGACCGGCGTTGTTGACCTCTCAGAGGTCGCAAACAAGCCTACTTACGTCATTCTTACTTTACATAGGTTAATTTTAGCGGAAAATTTGAAATTTTTTATTCTTTAATCATACTTGTTAAACATTCTTGATATTTCGTAATCGTTCATCATCAACCATCTAACATTTAAGAGATAAGCAACTAAAAGAAATAATTCATTAAGTATTAATTGTATATCGGCCAAAATAGCACCAATACAAAGTCTGAACCAAAATTGAAAAGAAACGCTAGTGAAAAATGCTCCACTAGCTCAACTCTAAAATACGCTAGAATGTAAAATAGTAGCATCCTCAAAAGCATGAGGACCTACCAAACTCAAGATGAATGCTGACGTCCGGATAGCTGCAACAATGAACCTGTAGCTCTACAATCCACCTGTGCCTGCACCCAAAAGTAGATGTTTGTTTGGAATTAGTACACACTTGTACTAAGTATGGGTATATGCAAGCACACACCAAGGACATGCATTAGAAAAAATAGCTCTTTCCTAACAACATGATTTTTGGAAGTCAAGTCAGTGGACTTGCCAAATTGAGATTGGGAAAGTTATGCCATAAGAGTGACATGCATCATTATAATTATCAAATTGCACACAACACATAACATCTGCATATAGCACATAACATATGACACATAGCTTCTTTCATATTATTCATTCATATGTCATGAGACCTTGTTATCGTGGA